GGGGGGTAAAGGAGAGGAAAGGTTTCAACCCCTGGTGACTCCGCCACTAGCAGCCCGGCCTGGCTAGACAGATACCCGCCTGCTGGCTCCCTGCACCCGACGGGCTTTGCCAGGGGAGAGGCTTTTCTGCTTGCTTTTTTGTTAGCTCGGCGGCAGGGCCCAGGCCCGGGCAGGGCTGGCTCTGGCTGCGCGGTGCGTGTGGATGTTTTCAGGCCGGGGGTGCTGGGGCTCGGACTGGTGCGCTTGGCACGACGGGCTCGCTCCGGGTTTCACGTGCGATGGCCAAGGCAGGCGGGGGCAGCGCCTTCTCTCCGGGCCTCACGGCCCCACGACCGCTTTTGATGTATTTTCTTCTCTTTTTTTGTCCTCACGACGTCATGTCAAAACCATGACTTTTCCACCAAGGGCGATCTTGGGCTGCCCTTGCTGCAGCCTCTTGGCCGGGAGGCTGGGCCAGGAGACTTGCTCTAGTCCCTGTTACTTTCCTTGGCCGGTCCCTTCTCCAGCAAAGCCACCGCCTCCCCTATTTGCAGCTTGCTAAACAACGCTCAATGGCTTCATTTAGGGATGGAGAGAAAAAAAACACAGGGGTTATAAAGGAACACTTTTTTTCTTCTCTTTTTAGATCGATCTAGTGCCTTGGAAGTAGAGAAAAAGTTAATAAAGACAGCTTTCCAGCCAGTTCAGAGGCGGTAAGAGATTATTTCCTCAGTCTCCTAAGGACATACAGACACACACACACACACATATATATATATATATATATATATCGAGAGAGAGAGAGATTGAGAGAGCTGTAGATGCTTAGATTTTTTTTTCTCCACTGTTAGTTCCCTTTGCAGCACCCAGTCATAAAGAAGCAACTTTTATCTTCCACCAAGTGTGTGGTGATGGGGTGTTTCTCATCCTTTTGAAAGCACATTCACAGCTGACTTTGCAATTCAGTCTCCCAGACTTTGACAATGATTCCTTAGGAAATGCAAAGTTGCATTACACATTTCTTGACCGCTTGTTTTTACTTTTTTTTTAATTGCACCCCCGGTCAACGCTTCAAAAAGAGTGATCCCTGTCCTTCCTCTTAAATAGAGCAGGCAAACAAATCAGGCCTGGATAAATCCTTAGGAAGAATTTAAGAAACGGGAAATACTGGAAAGCTGGGAGGACATAAGCAACTTCAGAGCCTGATCCTGCCTGTCTTCCCCAGGCAAAGCTCCCGCTGAAATCAGTGACACTGTTGCCTGAATAAAAATAAAAGTATCGGGCTCACAATTTCACCATACAGCTTATTCAATTTGGTACAGCCACCATCTGAACGTTTTGGTATTTAGAAATTCTTTCTAATTGAGACGAGCAACCCCAAACCAAAGTTAAAGCTCATTGTGCCACCTAACCCTGACTAGAAAAACCTATTAAATATTTCTTCTGTGTCATTTTTTTCCAGGCCCCAGAACCAACTTGATGCAGCTATGGTTCTATCCGCGTTGTCATCATCATAGTTAATTTTTTTATTGTTGTTGTAATGATTGTAAAAAAATCTGTATAGTTACAACTTGTAAGCATGTCCGTATATTAAAATTAAAAAAAAAGAAAGAAAAGAAAAGAAACCGCTTCTGTACTCTCCTCTGAATTAGCTGAGTGTGTGAGGTTTTTTTTTTTTTTTTTTTTTTTTTGGAAGTCCAGTGAGAATTAGGTGTCTCGAATTTTTTTTTTGTATATACAGTAAAAAATGTACATATGTGTGAACCAAATTGTACAAGAAAGTATATATTTTTGGCTAATAAATAAACTGTTGCCACTTTGACTACACTCTCTTCTGCCACCAATGGACTTATTTTTCCTGACTCTCTCTCTCTCTCTATTTTTTAAAAATTCAATGTAATAGATATATATATATATTTATTTTTTTCCGGAGCGTTGAGCACTCGTCCAAGCCTGGGTTTCTTTGCCTGCTCCGAACTTGTACGCAGTTTTAGGCTCCGGGCAGCCGTGCGGGCACAAAGGCCCAGGGCTGGTAGAGAGGAGACAATGCGGGAGCGGGCAGAGGCTGCTCGGGCTCCGCCGCCTGGGCCCGGGGCAGCTCCCGGCTCCGCGCGGGGCAGCGCGCTCTGCGGGCGGCCGAGGCGGAGAAGCCGCCGCTGGGGAGGAAACAACCCTAAACAAACGCCAGCACCGTCATCCGTTGCTGGGCTGGGGGGAAGGGGAAACCGGCATCTTTGTGCTTGATCAGTGCTAGAAAGTCCCCGGACAGGTCCTTGCTGTGTCTTGTGCAGTCCAGATTAGGCCAGAGGGCCTGGCGCTGCTCGGCGGAGCGCGGGGCGGCCGCTCCCGCCTCGGACGCGATTGCTTGTGCTGCAATTGCTGCGGCCGCGGCCCCTCCCCCGCGAGGGCCACCGGCCAGGGCG